TTTAGAATAGATTTGACGCCGCAGCAGAGATACCTATCCTTAAAAAAAATGTTATTGGTGTTTTTTCTTCCTGAACCTAGAATGAATTTGACATTGTAGTTGAGATTTTCAGCCCTAAAGAGTTTCATTGACGTTTTTTAAACCTTCTGAGCAGTACTTGATATCGATGGGACCTGGCATTGATGAACGCAGAACAGTTTTTGCAACAAAAATCGTCATTGATGTTTTTTAAGACTTCCTATATACGTGTAAATGTGTAATTTAGCTGAAAACTCTCCATATTTCTGTACTTAATTAACCAAAACACTATATTTAAATCAATAATCCTTAAAAAATGGATCTTTGTAGAGACTTTTTCTCTTTCACAAACGAAACATAATTAATTAAATTTTAAAAAAATTATTAAAGTGTATGACTATCTTTGATTAGAAAAACAAAAAAATATATTTTGGAAAACTGATTATTAGAGTACATGTTTAATATGCATGATTGTTGAAGTATTTGTGGTAAAAAGGAAGTTAAGAAATTCCCTTGAACTCATTCTCTAATAGACCTTTAGATATTTTGATTTTACGATATTCAATTTGATGAAAAAAGATAATGAAATTAATTAATAATTAAAAATATTTATTTTGAAATGATTCTGGTGTAATGAATGTTTTTAAACAGTGTTAATAAAAATAAATTTTAGATATACTTTATAAAGAATAAATTACACTTTGCTTGTTTGACAATTTTTAAATTACTTTTGTTATCCTCTTATTTTAAAACCAACAATATCCTTCTTTTAGATATGAATATAAATTATATTTTAATTTATTTTAAAATAATTATTTTAATAATAAAAGATGATAAATGATTTTTTTAAAGATATTTCTTTTATAATTTTTAGCATTGCTAGCAATAATTTTAAAATATATTATAATTGGTTTCATATTTTAATAGGTGAAATAACATTTTTAAGACTTTCTTATTTGACTTAAAAATGCCATTTTTTACGGTTATAATATTAAGAATAAATAGACTATCATCGAAGTTCCAAGAAAAGATCATAGAAGGTCCAAATTCAGGATCATCAAAATTTCTAGAACTTGAAGACTATCGAGTATTTGAATTGTGGAAAGACCGAACATTACAAAAACTAGTGGCGAAAACAGAGGCAAATGCTACCTTAGAAGGACAAGATGCATTAATATGTTCTTTAGAAAGTAAGGAAGAATCTTGGGAGTTAGATTCTGGAGCATATTTTCAAGCTACTTTGTAAAGAGAATTCTCTGTCTTAGAAAAATTTACCTAGGTAATCAACAATCTTTTGATATTGTTGGCAAAGGCGTGGTGAAGATTAAGTTGAATGGGTCTATTTGGAAACTGAAAAGTGTCAGACATCTTCCTGATTTGAGAAAAATATTAATCTCAATAGGTCAGATAGCCAGTGAAGTCTATACAACAATCTTCCAAAGTAATAACTGAAAGATTTCAAAAGGTGTAATAAGGATTGCTTGCAGTAATAAGAATGGAACTCTTTACATGATAGTTGAGGGATATCATTTGTTTGCAGTTGCAACAAATAATGAAAATCTTAATCTATGGCTTCAAATACTTGGCCATATGAGTGAGAAAGGGATGAAGGTTATGCACTCAAAGGAAAAATTATCAAGACTTCAATTAGTTGAAATTGACATGTGTGAAGATTGTATATTTGAAAAGAAAAAAATAGTTAGCTTTCAAACAAATAGGTGAACCTTAAAGAAGGAAAAACTTGTACTTGTTCACTATGATATTTAGGGACTAACATTTGTGTCCTCCATTGGTGTAAAACAATACTTCGTGACTTTTATAGATAATCACTCTAGGAAGTTACAAGTTTATTTTTTAAAACACAAGTTACAAGTATTCGAGGCTTTTAAGATATGGAAAGCCATGGTTGAAAATGAGATAAGGTTGAAGATAAAAAAAAAAAAAAACTTAGAACTGACAGTAGTGGTGAATATGAAGACACTAGATTTGAGAAATTTTGCTATGAGCATGGAACTAAGATAGAGAGAATCGTGCCTGAAATACAATGCAATGGTGTAACTGAGCATATGAATCAAACATTGATAGAAAGAGCTAGAAGCATGTATGTACAGTCAGGCCTACCAAAGTAGCTTTGGGCAAAAGCTATCAACAAATCAACTTACTTGATCAGCCACGGTCCATCAGTATCATTACAACATAGAATACCAAAAGATGTATGAAGTTGAAAGGATGTAAACTTAAACATCTTAAAAGTTTTTTATTTGTGTAGCTTATGTGCATATTAGTGTTCAAGGTAGAAATAAACTTGATCCCAAATTAAAGAAGTGCATTTTCATTGGTTATGATGAGGATAAGTTTGGCTATCACCTTTGGGATAATGAAAACAAAAAAGATGATTTGAGGTAGATATGTGATCTTTAATGAAAGAATACTGTATAAGGACAAACATAATATAGACACCTAGGGAGATGGTTCCCATATCCTAATTCTTATTGATATGACAACAATGGTTTTTATTAATTTTGTAACGAGGATTACAATTATTATCCTCCATTGAAACTAAGATCGTCAACACCTTCTCCTCCACCAGCACCGCCCTCGTCGTCAAGAGTTGATTTCCTCAACTTCTTTAAGTCCATGGATAATGAGTACTTGGGTTACCTCAACAAGTTTGGGTTGAGAACGAGTGATCTCGTTTTGAAAGAGGTGAGGGAGAGATAAAGGATCTCAGAACTGGAAGACGTAACAAAGCATGAAATAGTGAAAGAAGTTCCTTGAAAGGAGAAGAAAAAAGTGAGAGAAGAGAAAGAATGTCAAACATATGTAATCTTCTAATCATCTCAATTGAGCACGTACCATATCTAGCACTCCATCAACATATTTTAGAGGTTTTCTTGAGTGATTTGTTTAAGTGAATATTTTTTATTAAGTAGAAATAAAATTTAACGTTTAATTTTTGTGTTAAATAAAGAGAATCTGGATCCATTTTCTATAGCTTCAATGACTTAAAGAAATAATAATTAAATTATTTAAAGTATACTAAAAAATGTTTTCAATAATATCTTAATAAATTTTATTTTTTTTTATTTTATTAAATATAATTGTCTTTGATAAAAAATACAAGTGATGTAAATAAAAATATCTTAACAAATTTTATTATTTTTTGGTTGACAATTACAGTCTTACCTTTTTTTAGTGGAAAGTAAAGGGTCTTGGTATGACTTATTGCAGTCAAATTGTCTTAGGCATTAAATTTTTATCCTACTAAATTTTTTTACATCATTTGAATATGATAGATTTCATTAAAACTCTTTCTGTTGTGTGATCATTAAGTTTTAAAAGTATTTTGCTAATATTTTTTAAAATAAAATTAATGCTTGCATGATCCCGAATAAATGATGATGTATAACGCCACCCCATGAATTCTTTAAGCTGCTATTGTTATTGAGTAAAACCAAATTGAATGATTAGCTTGCCCATTCTGTTTTTAAGCCGATTTCACCGTGTAAGTTTTTGTTATACACAAGGGTTAGTAGTGCCTATAAAGATGTTATTTTCGCCTTAAGTTAGTGGAAGAATTGTGGTGCCAATTGTGTCAGCATTTTGTTGCATTTTCTCATTGTGTCTAGGCTGTTAATGAGTGATATATTGAAGGAAAGGGAAAGAAAATGAAACCATTCTGCATAAGGAAGCAACAATATTGACGATTAGTTTTACCAAATGAGAAAATTACTCTGTATATTCTTAGAAATAAATAGGTGCACTTAAATTGGAAAACAAAAATATGGCGCTAACTATCCCTTCGTGTATAGATCTTGAAAATCATGTTTAAAAGACACACATGAAATCATTTTACATTCATGCTTACAAAATTAGAAAGAAACTCCTTCTACACCCCAAAATAAAAAGCTAAAAATAGAAACCAAATATTAAATTTCCATTTCTTTCTAAAAATACCAAATTATAGTAACTAATTGCAACCCTAAAGATTAATCTTGTACTAATTAGACCTTGATAAAAATATTAAAAATATCTTGTTTTTAAAAGGACAAAAATAAACGCCTGGGGAGAGTAATAAAAAATTCGTGTTTTTCAATGGTTTGTTAGTATGAGAAAGTTATGAAAGAAATAAAATACATTGAACTTTGTGTATAATTCTCTCATATCAAGCGCAAAGAAAATATAAGAGTGAGAAAGAAATAACAATGAATAATTTCCAATAAAATAAAATGCCTTTTTTATACAATATATATGTTATATATATAATAATTTTTCATCCAATTAAAGAAGTGAATATAAAGTTTTTTTTTTCTTTATTTCTATTCTCTTCTACTTTTTTTCCTTCTAATTTTATTCCTTATCCAAACTGACTGTTAAAAATAAGCACAAGGGTTGTAATTTAAGTGATACATTTTTTTTCAAAGATTGTGCTTCTTTATCTTTGATAAAGATTTTATATTTCGAAGACTCCTAATCTTAAAAATCAACTAAACTTTTTCTTTACAATACAAAAGGAAAATATAGCAATCTTCAAGACAGGCAGTGCGCGGCATTGTGTTAAGATCTTCAACAAACTGTCTCTGTTATGATATTAATTATTAATGATAAATTATTATTATGAGATGCTTTTAATTTAATAAATGGGATTAAGCTCTACATTTTTATAATAAATATTGAATTAATGGCGATAGATCATATCTTCCAGATGCCAATTGCCAAATACGGAGGATCGAGTTGGGGTTGCACCGTATTTCTATGTCATGCAAAAGACATCACTGTCTGAAGAGGCAAAAAATTGGGCATATTCATAGCCTAGTCCATCACAAATTTTCACATTTTAAAAAATATTTTTTTCCCAACATTTGGTAAATCCCTTCATATAAATATTCCATGTAAAATAATTTCTACTCTGAGATCATCACTTTTCAGAATCAACGTGTGTGTGTGTGTGTATATATATATATATATATATAATACCACTTGAAATTTGTGTTCCCAGATTTCTTCCAACACCCGGATTTTCTCTGCTAAAAACCCTACACCCTCAATGCATCCCTTGTTTGGAAGAAAGGGCGAATTTTCCTTGGAACCCAAATTTTGTTTCAGTGCGGTATAATCGAATTTCACTTGGTTTTTCTAAAAGCACGAGTTCGATTTGATTTTGCCCTGCTTCTGCCACTTTTTTTTTTTGTTCAAAACAGTGATTGATAGAAATTGAAAAATTGAATTTCCTTGGTGAGTTGGAAGTGAGAGTGGCATTGGTGAAGTTGAATTGGATTGCAGGGAGTGTGGTGTGTGTTGAATGGTTAAAATTGATGAGAGGATGTGAAGGGCATTGAGAGGAGCATGTGAGATAAGATGAGTAGTGGGTCATTGGGCATTCGTTCTGCGAGTTATGGGTGTTTGGAGAAGCAGCTACAGAATGGAGTGTCACCTATTCTAACAGCACGCAAGCCTCCTAAGATGCTGAAGGAGAAAGAGAGGTTATTCCTTTGGATCTGCAAGTTTGCTGGCAGAAAGAAGGTTGGAATGCTCTTTCTCTGTATCATCTCAGCTGCTGTTTTCGTCTGGGTTTTGTACGTTGGAAAAGGTTTCTCAATTTCTCTCACTGTCTTTTCTTAATGTGTTTTAACTTTTTAGTTTTAATTATGTAACTGCAATGTGATTGTGGTGGTGCTTTTGGGGGATTCTGTTACTTTATCAAGTTGCATGGGAGACTTAGGTTTGATTGGTTATAGGATTTATTCGGTTAACCATCAATATTAGGAGTGCATGCCATGTGCCTTGTTGAGAGTGGAGGGATAAATCTTGTTTTCTGATTCTCATGATTTGTACTTTCAATTTTCGTGAAATGGTTTGCTTTCAGGTGAAGATTCACAGGAGGGGAACAGTGTGCATAATAACATTAGTGTTAATGAAAGTGTGTCTATAAGTGATTCTCCATCTGTGATCTCTACCGCAAATATGATGGGATTCACTACAAGTTTGGTACTACCTCCTCCTCCCCCTAGCTATTTTCTTGGTTACACTCTTTCTCCTGGTCATCCATGTAATAGTTTCACACTTCCTCCGCCACCAGCAGATAAAAAGCGTACAGGGCCACGGCGTAAGTTCTAGTTTTACTTATTTTGTTTCTACAGATATCTGTCAGTTTTTCAAGTTAGGGTAGTTCATGAGGATATGGAAGGCATATGAATATTTTTGGTTACTTAATGTTAATGGTATTACTCCTGAATATTTTTGCTTGTTTGTGTTTCAGCTTGCCCAGTATGTTACCTTCCTGTGGATGAAGCCATCGCACTCATGCCAAAGTTTCCATCACCTTCTCCAGTACTTAAGAATTTGACATATATCTATGAGGAAACTCTCAGCAGGGATGGAGAATTTGGTGGTTCAGACTTTGGTGGATATCCTACTTTGAGGCAGAGAAATGAATCTTTTGATATACGAGAGTCAATGAGTGTGCACTGTGGGTATGTTTTGGGTTTTGTTGGATGTTTCCCTTCTGCATATCTATAAGTTCTGAAGAATATTCTTTGTGGTTATAATTTGTTTGTCCCACTAATAAAGGGTATTTCTCCTATCCTTTTTACTCGCATCTGTCCATTCTGCATCTACAATGATGCATGTGTACATCATTCAGATTTGTAAGAGGAACTAAACCTGGCCGCAACACAGGATTTAATATGGATGAAGATGACCTTCTCGAAATGGAGCAGTGTCATGGCATAGTTGTTGCATCAGCTATATTTGGTCTGTGTGATTTGGTTTTTGCTTTCATTTTAGATGTTTAATCTGGTATATTGCTGATGAATTAAATCTGTTCAGGGAATTTTGACGTGATAAATGAGCCAACAAATATATGCGAGTATTCAAAGCAGACTGTATGCTTCCTTATGTTTGTAGATGAAGAAACAGAGAAATATTTGAGGAGCTCTGGCAGGTTGGGAACCAGCAAGAAGATTGGTTTGTGGAGAATTATTGTTGCTCGTAATCTTCCTTACACAGATGCAAGACGCACAGGGAAGGTCAGAATTATATTTCAACAAGTACCATCATGACTGTGAACTGAAATTAGCATATTCGTTGTTAGTCATATTTGTTGCTGATGTTTAAAATAATTGTGCTTTTTCTTTTGTGATCTGATTGTTGCTATGGAAAACTACTATTGCTGGTTTTGATTTCATCTTTCTAATCTACGTTCAAGGATTTTGTGCCATACTGAACGACCCTTGTACACAGGAAGGGAAGGGAAGGGAAGGGAAAGGAAAGGAAAATAAAAATATAAATGAAAGCTGTATCAATAGACCCCGAATTAACTGTAGATCCTCTTGTCTGAGCATTATGCTGATTCTTTTTATTATATAATTTGGGTTTTTGGGTATGAATTAGAATAACAAAAATATCTCACTCAAATACTGTTTTATTTTCTGGATCATGAAGTAGCACTTTTAAGTACTTATAATAAGTTAACTGACTTTTCTACAGATTCCAAAGCTTCTGTTGCATAGAATGGTTCCAAATGCTCGCTACTCTATATGGCTTGATGGAAAGCTTGAGCTTGTCGTTGATCCATATCAAATCCTTGAAAGGTATATTTCTGTGTTGCTCTTTGATACTATATAACAATTCATTTTACATATGAAAATCATGTAAATATCTAATCTCAGTCCTACATTTGTGCACCATCTTATACGAGGTTCACTTATCTATTTAATTCTGCTCTATAAAGATGCAATACACTGCTAATGTGGAATTGAATCATAATGTTTTCTAGTTCAGCCTTAATGACACAACTTACTACCACATATACACTAGGGGATGCAAGCCTTGATATATGCTAGTACCTAGTATTATGCCTCTTGGTTTTACCTAGAAGTTTTTGTGTATTGTTCAGTTTCACTATTGCACTATATTGTATTATGTAGTTGTTGCTCCTTAAATATCTTTCTGGTTCTTTGTCATAACATGGCTTTGAAAATTCTGGATGTCCAGCTATGTGATTTCTTTCCCACACAGGGGGCCTCTTAATCTCTAGAGCACAAAATGCTTCTATATTTGTCTTTTGTTGAGGTGGTTGTTATAGCCTGTAGGTATGGGTTTTAATGAAGATAACTATTAACTGGTCTAACAATAGAGTTTGTTTCCTTTAATATGGTTGCCAAAACTCAAGATGTGGATTTGCCTGTTACAGCATAGCAATGGAAACTGAAGATGACTTAAATAAGAAACTTAATGAACCTTATCCTGGTCCTGGTTTCAGTTTATCCCCCATAAAGGAACAGTAACTCAATTGAGCTGCTACCGAACCATGTTTGAGTCATTTGCAGTCTTCCTTAACTTCCAGGCATTAAAACACCATGTAGACTGCTCAATCTAGAAATCCCCTTCTGGGCTGAAAAACTAAGCTCATCGAAAGACTAGAAGGCCAATACTTCTTGCTAGGTCATCAATACATGCTGTTTAAAAGATTGGATAAAAAAAATATTGATATCTTGTTCTTATTATAAAGTGCTATTTCACCAACTTTAGTACTTATCAGGAGCTAGATAAATTGAGTTTTCACCTTGTAAGAACTTACCCTCTAGGACATATTTTTAAGGATTATAGCTTTAATGTTTCGGGTTTGAAGTACTAGGATCTTGGCATCTTGCCAAGTGCCTACCTCAGCATATTAGAACTATTATTTGGAGGCTGTAAAATTTAATAGTCAGCAGCTTCTTCTGTTGCTTTCTTTTTCATATTTTCCCCTTCTGTTGTATGTTCACTGCCATGTATGTTTGTTTTGCTATTGACTTTATAGATCTTTCTCATCCTCCTGCTCTATGTCAAGTTTTGCTTTCCATTTTGGGTGGCTATCCAACTGACTGCTTGATCAAGACTTCACGTATACTGTATCTTACATGAAAATCAAGTTTGAGTTATTATTGGATTTTCATATATTCATACCTATGTTGACTTTGTACTAGCTTTATTTTACTCGCCTTGGTGGAATCCTTTGGCACCTGAATTACTCTGATCCTTGTTTAGGTTTTTGTGGAGGAAGAATGCAACTTTTGCCATATCCAAACATTACAGACGCTTTGACGTATTTGTTGAGGCCGAGGCAAATAAAGTTGCTGGAAAGTATGATAACACCTCCATTGACTTTCAGATTGAGTTTTACAAGAATGAGGGACTGACTCCATATACAGAGGCCAAACTTCCTCTTATAAGTGGTAAGCTAAATATCCTCTTTCCTTGTAGGATGAGATGCACATTCTTCATTCTTTTTCACTATATTTCTCAACCTTGATGGCTTCCTAAATTGCAGATGTTCCTGAAGGATGTGTAATAGTACGAGAACATGTTCCTATTAGCAACCTCTTTACTTGTCTTTGGTTCAACGAAGTTGACCGATTTACCCCTAGGGACCAGATCAGTTTCTCAACTGTCAGGGATAAACTTTTGTCGAGGGTGGATTTTCATTTTCTCATGTTCTTGGATTGTGAAAGACGCAACTTTGTAGTTCAGGTAATTATTTTTATCGGTTTTTTTAACTTTAGGAACTGAGTTTAAGTATCTAGAAATATATATTTTTTAAAACATAATATTTATTACACTTTTTTAATTTTCAATGTGATAAATGCTTTCTTTTTCATTAAAAATTTATCACTTTTAGTTTCTTATTCTTGGCTTTAAGGGTTGAGGATAATATGTCAATTTTTGGCTTCTTACAGATATAATATGATTAATACAACATATGTTATTGTCACTTTTTACTTCACAAAATTTGGAAACCAAAAACAAAATGAAAGCATATTTCTTGAAAATGAAACCAACTTTATACTACATTGGCATTTGGTTTCATGGTTACACACCCTCACTAAACTGTAATTAAAATACTTTTTTTCTTGCTCACAGAAATATCATAGGGATTTATTAGAGCGCATGGCTGCTCCGGTGACTGTTACTCTCAGTTCACCACCGCCACCTTCTCCTCCCACATTGCTTAAACTCGAAACTTTGCTGGAAAAGGTTGTAATTCCAACAATTAGGAAAGGCCCTGGAAGGCGTGGAAGAGACAAGAGACCGGGTTCAAGGCAGCACCGCAAAGTCGTGGCTGGAAGTAGGGACACAAACATTGAAGCAAATTAAAAAATTTTGTTTGGGTGATTATATGATGATTTCTTTTGTTTTGGCATTCCACCTACACAAATCAAATTTCAGAGCAGAGCTGGAGGAAAACGTTGAAGCTGAGTGTTGTATTTTTTCCACATAGAAGCTCTCATTCTTTTTACTTTCTGCAATTTGTTCAACGCTATTAATTTTTTTGTTGTATATAGAGTAAAATCCTCAATAATTATATCGCAAGGGTTGTCACTTGCCACCAAATTCCTCAGATGTGATAACCCACTGTTGTTCCATTATCATAGGAAAGAAGTGTAGTTCCTCTCAATTTTACTCCATCATAGTCTAATAAAGCGACGAGAAATTATTTGTTTCCTCGTTTTGTCAGTGATTTTACTTGGAATTCTGAATAAAATCTGGACTTTTTAGTAAATCTGATACGAATTAAATTCATAAAACATGTAAAAAATCAACCTTTTTAGGTAACTCGTTTGGCTACTTCCAGTATTAAATATAATTTTTAAACTGGGTTCAGTAATTTGTGAAACGGTACATATTAAAATTTTCTGAATAAATTGAGAAATAATTTGAAATGGCATGAAAGAACGTACGTGTGGAGTGAAGGAGAATAGACAGGCATGTCTTTATCTGTTTGCGTGCCGAGTCGAGTTGGCAGAGGTGATATGAGAGAGAATCTGCAATGTCGGCATTGGGAGAATCGTGCCACGTGTGAGGAGGGTTCCACCGGATCCTTATCCTAGAATCTCTCTCACTTACGTCACTAGAGGAGCATTTTCGTTTTCGAATCTTTGGCTTAATTAATTTACTGGTGTAATTAATTAAATATATGAGTTTTCATAATGGGTGAGTGCGAATGGTGTGTTATTTTTCTGGTGTTTTCCCCGAAGGATGAAGTGTGAGGGTTAGGGTTTACAGAGGTATGAAATGGGATCGTCGTCGGCGTTTTTCGTGATCTGCATACTGCACTCGGTGATTGCGATGACGAGTGGAGCACTGATGATGTTCTACATGAAGGAGGTCTACACTTTTGGCCATGGGGTGCAGACGGCCACCAAGCTTCTTGGATCCACGCCGCACGACCAGCTTCTGATCAAGACCTCCGATTCCTTCTCCGGCTTACTCCTCGTTGCTATCGGTTTCCTTCTATTCATGGTTTCCTTCGTCAGAGACCGTGATTTTCAGGCCTTCTTTGCTAAGGGTTGCACCCTCCTCCACGTCTTCATGGCCATGTGGAGGATCTACTTCGAACGGAAAGTTGAAGATCTTGCCTGGGATTGGCTTCGCCAAACCGTCGGTGATCTTCTCTTGGCACTTTCCTGGGTTTTCTTCCTTGTTTACTCTTGGAGAGAGAAGTACGATTAACTTCCCTCTCTTTCTCTCTCTTTAATTTTATTTTATTTTATTTTTTAAAAAAATTTCTTATTTGGCTTTCAATTTACCCTGTAAAAATCGGATCTCAGTGTTCTCTTTTCAAATCGGTATTTTAGAAATACATTCTGTCTACGTGAATTACCTTTCCCTGCGTTCAATTACACAAAAAATGGGGCATCTTCCGTTATTTGTTATTTTGGGAATGGTACCCGATTATTCGTAAGTTCTTAACTATAGCTCACTGCGGTGTTATTCCTGCGATAATCGAACTTTTGATAGTTTTACATGTAGTTTTGAGCTGAAGGGAATGACATTGACTGTGTAGTTGTTAGTGTATCAAGTTTGAAGATTTTTGTAACCTGCAAAATTGATCAGAAGGTATACATTTGTGTCTGTGGGTTTGGGTGAATAACAGTTGGATGTTTTATTTGTTTATAGATTTTGGAATCACATAAACTAATGTTGCAATTGAGTTTGAAGAATCATCTTCTCATTTCAGTATTTAGAATCTACAAATTCTCTGGATTTAGCTTATGCTTTACTTGTAAAGTGCAATTGATATGTAGATCCGGATGAAGCTATTTGGGTATATATGTTAAGAAATTGCATTTTATTTTACTTGTCTGAACAGTAAAAATAATTCTCAAGAGGCAACTGATTGATCAAGTATTTCACTTGTCCTGTTGTGAAACTAAATTTATCCCTGTCAATCCACAAATGTTTCTGATCTTGCGTAAAAATAATTGTGCATATTTTGGAATTATCGTTACATGACCATCAAATGAATATGAACTAAAATTTATAAGGAGTTTGCCTTGTTTTGGGATAATGGTAATTGGTAATTTCTTGGGATTTTTTATTTTACAATCACTTTCAGCCAATGTCGAACCAAGAGCTCAAAATGCAATTTGAAAATGCTAGAAATGTTCTATATCAGTTATCTCAATTATAATAAACATTTCATATAATTGGTGCTCCTAATGAAGATGACTTGATTCAAGTTGAAGACGATGCTAGTGGTTTTGTTGGTGCCCCTCTAGATGCTGTGGATAATGATGGAGATGAGGATCATATGAAGATGATGATCATGGTTTGAATGATTTGCTGTAGATATCTAGAGTTGGGCTGTTTTCTCTTGGTGTGAGTTCTTTGTGCTGTCAGATTATGTCTTTTATATTCGGAGTTAACGAACAACTTGAGCTTAATTTGTGGTTTTGTGACTTGAGAGTTATATGAGACCTTATATACTTTCATTTCTAAGTTTAGTTAAATGTTCGTATTGACTTAAAGGTTATTTTTCATATCTCTGTTGTTGTATATGCACGAATATGCACGTATACGCTTGAATTCATATTTTACGTGGTATCTTACAATCTATGTTGCTAGCACACAATTTATGCATCCTCCAACCCTGTGATCCTTGGTAGGTTTTCAATTTTGACAACCTTGGTTTCTGAAAGACTGTATATGTCCATATTACATCGACTTCAAAATTGTAAATGCACTTACATGTGGACAATGCATTTGTTTCTTCTCCCCTAGTTTTTCTATCATCCTTCAACATTCCTGCTGTATTTTGAGCTAGAATTAGCCATTGATTAATTTGACATACAAGAGTTTAGTTAATTTATAATCAAATGGAATATTTTTAGCACTATTATGTGGTTACTTTTATCGGATGTGTGGGATTATTTTTATCTGGTTCTGTGGAGTGAAAGGGGTCCAGACATACACACTACAAGAAGGGCAGAAATTTTAGGTGACCTTTCTCCTGCAAGAGTGACTGTCAATACCATTCTCAGGCAGTGACTATGCACAGATGTGAACAACTGTGTATATTATCAATCGTGATGTTCAATTCGATGCAATTTTGCCACTGCCACCATCATTGCAACTAGACATTAACTGTCTGCTTCTAATGCTTGTGGTTGGGATGACCCTCTCCTGATTCCCGTGCTGCAAAATGAGAGGTTTCTCAATTTTAAGTAGGATGTCTGTTTTCAGGGTTTGGGTTTTCATTCCCGTAGTTGATTCAACCTTCGGAGGAAATTCCCTAATTTATTTTACCAATTGGAAACGAGGGTGATTTCAAAAGCATTGGGTCTTGGGTGAAAGGTATTTGTCTCTGCTAAACTCAATCCATAAGCTGATTTGGCTCCCTAGTTGAGAGTTTTTTGTGTTCGCCACTGTTTATCATTATTTGATTATTTACTGCATCTAGAGTTAAAATTTCATGGTTGTTTTTTAATTGTTCACAAATATCTCGTCAATTTCTTTGTCTGCACAAGAAATTTTCCATTGCAACATATATAGCATCTCTCTTCTTTACTTTTTATAATTGATTAATAGAAATATTTTTTTAAGCACATAGTTCGGGTTGAAGAATTAAAAATAGATATGTTCTTTGCAGAGCACAAGGACTTATTATAGTTGGTTAGTAGCAATCTTTAGAGTTGCCTTTGTTAACCTGTGGCCATAATTTTATTCTAAAAGATTTTACAAAAGATGAATTTTCCTTTAGCAGTTTTCCATTATATCATATATAACATATATCTATCTCTCTAATATATCATCTAATATAAATTTTATTAATGAGCATATGTAGATTTGAAGAGTTCTAAATGAAAATATGGTCCGTCTTTTGTCATTCTAGAACCCAAAATATCATTTTTGGCGGGTGATGATTAAAGATATCTTATTTTAAACCTCTCATTGAAATGGTCTTGTACTTCAATATATATGAAATTTTTGCAGTTTTGGTGCCAATAGTAGAACTTGGTAGTGCTAGAACCTGTAATGCATTTTTGTTTAAATAAATTCAAATTTGCATGAGCAAAAATGTAGCTTCGCTCTCTTTCTTCTTCCACTTTTCTCAGTCACTTCTCTCCTTTTCTCTTTTTCTAATGAGTTTTAAAAAAAATTTTAAGTGAATTTTTTAAACTTAAACAAAAATTACGGATTTTGCTTAAGTAAATTTAAATTTGCTTTAAAAAAACAAATACGCTGCAGACTGCATCTCGGATTAAAACTGTAGATAATTCAAATCCTGGTATACTAACAAAAGGGCATGATTCCCTTGAGATTTGTATATTTGCCCAATTCTGGCATTCCTCAAATGAACAAGCACAAAACACCGGGGCTGAAACTAGCTTTGGGGCTGAAACTAGCTTTGAACAACGCTAATCATAGAATGAGAAATGCTAGCAAATACATTATTTATATTCACTATTTTAGTATAGGGAGACAATAAGGAGTTATTTGGAAAATAAGGTTTTGAAGGAGAAAGAAAAAGAAAGGAGTATAAAATTTATATTTTAAATAGATATATTTTAAATTAAAAAATATTTCATCTCTTTGTTTTTTCTTTCAAAAACTTCTTAAACATATGTAAATAAGATGAGTCACACTCCTTACCAAGTGGATCTTATTCCCAATTTAGTTGTCTTACATTATTTTCAGCCAATAACGAACACTCTGGGCTCACCTTTTTTTTTTTCTACATCTTGACGGTGATGCAGATGGTGGAAATACTCATTCAATGGAAACTTTTTACTTGAATAATAATTCAGTCTTCGATTATTCCAATATCTCTACTACACAAGCACATATTTCTGCAACTTCACATTGTGTCTACTAACTCCGTAATTCCATGACCATTCTCATAAATGGGTGCCCCCATAGGTTTTGGGGTGATGACTTTGCTATCATCCAAACTTTCACCCGATGGGATCTTGTGACAACCTACTGTTCGGAGTAAATTTTGCTATACTCTTGCAAGTAACTCTAAGACTAGAGAGTTGGCTATGAGCAACTCATATGGTGGAACGCCAGCACCATAACTCTACATGAATGAAAATAATTTATTTATTGTTATGATAGAAATGAAAAAAAAAATAATTAAAAAAAGAAGTGAAAATTAAAACGATTTAGTTAATGAAAATTTACAAACAAATTAAGAAATTTCTATTATAATATATAAATATAAGATATCACCTAGTGCATTAAAGAAAAGTACATTTTAATGATTCATAACTCATAACAACACATAACTTCCCATTATAACTCATTAAAACAATAATAAACAGTAACAAAATCACGTTGTGTAGGCTTCTCAATATTATAATGTGTAATATTACATAATTCCTTGATCAACTAAGTGAATGTAATTTGTCTTTAACTTTGCTAGCACCAAAAATTTTACTCATTGGGTATCTAATGTTAATTTAACACATTGATGAAATTGTGAATAAAGAATTTGGTAACTATACATAATGTCTATCTATATACTTATGCTATTGGGTACCCCTTTACAAGTAATTCCAGGACCAGAGCTAGCTATAAGCAACTCATATGGTGGAATTCCAGCACCACACCTATTTCTTAGTTTTGAATTTTTGTTTCTCTTCTCAATCTCCTTTTCTATTCTCTTTAGATCTATGGAAAACCTGTAAAATGCTTGTGCGATTTCAGGGTCAGTAGCCCAATTGGACAAGTCCTTCCTCTGCCCTAGGTATTCTTCATCCGGTGAATGCTGAGAGAGTATGTTAATTACTGCAAGAAACTTAGTAGTTTGAAACAAATTTGGTAAGCAAGACAAGAAGTACCCTTCTGGGTCTTTAAAAAATTCTTTGTACTCAGGATCCTCTTCCTTGGGTAACAACTTCCTCATATGTGGAGAGCGCATTGGGACATACCCACCTAAAGGGTATTGTCCAAAATTCACTGCTGAATGTTGAACTGAAGCAACCCATATTAGTGTAGTGAGTACTGAAGTAAGGTCACTTGAAGAGGAGAGTGTTGGCCACCAACTTGCATTTGCATGATTAGCATGACCTACATTTATGGCCTCCCTGTACCATGTTTGGAGCTCATTGTCTGAACATATCATGATTTCATCACGATAGTAGTAGTTCACATAAGTCCTAACCAATTTCTCCAAAGCAAACCATATAAGAAGCCCGTCATTTGCATAAGGATAATCTTCAATTAGTAGTTTTAGCCCATGTGGTTGTGTTGGGTCAGGTTCTGCCAATCCCCTACATAATGATTATTATAACAAGATTATGAGATGGAACTTTCATATATATATATATATATATATATATATATATATATATATATATATATATCATAACTTTTGTCAATTAATCTCTAGGAAAACTATTTGTATATGTGTGTGAATTAACCTTCTAATAAGGTCAGCAGGAAGTGCTTCCATGTCAAAACGCCACCAATCTCTATAGGCAGCTGAGACAATCTCAGTACTGTATTTGGCGGGAGAAAAATCAGATTCAATGATGCCTCCTTCGTTGATGAGAGCCTCACGAGCCAAAGCATTTATTTGCAATGTGTGCTTCAAATGAGGCTTCAAAAGTTTGAAAACAGGATGCATGACACTCAGTTGGCGATGAGCTGCTATGATGAATGGCTCCATGCATGCATGGGTCCTCAGCCTGTTAAATAAACATCAAATGGAGGTCAAAAAATATATGATGAATTGGATAATAGCACATGAAGCATCTAGCTCTAACCAAAATTAATGCCTGATATCATCTCCAAACTTGATTAAAATACTAAAGAGAATTAATTAACCAGCACTAAATTTTCCTTCAAACATTTAATGTATACATTGCATACCAATGATGGACAAGCTGGTGAACCCCGGCATCGTTGGAAGAAACGTTTGCTTTGGCAAGTTGCCACAACCAATAAGACGTGGCATCCAATGGAGGGGTAAGAACCTGTTTGGATGGTTCTCCATGTGAAAGACTTAGCTCGATGGCAATGGGCTTCAAAGTACCTAGTGGTGTTAAGTACAAGATAGTACGGGTTGCATAAGCTTTCCGGTCTTCGTAAGCATTGATGCCATTGAGAAATGGGAGATAAGCGTCATGATAATCCAATATGAATAGCTTCTTTTCTGCTATTGCCTAATCAATTACACAGATTTAAAACAATGTGAAACTCTAATCTCCCAACACACAAAGGAAAGAAATCTTAAAAAAAAATTGATGAAGTTGAGTGTAAGTATAGCAACTGACCACAAAATTGTTCAAATAATTATTAATATTAAAAAAAATTAAAATGCATTAACTTGTGCACCTGTTGTACGGACATTCCGTCCAAATGGCTTATTATGTGCTCTTCTTTGAGAGCAGACTCTTGTGCACCATATATCGAGGGATCCAAATCACTCACTGGTGGAAATGTCTGTCGGAAATTTAGAGAAATATAAAAGACAAATCAGTATATGCATTTGCTAAACTTAATTAATTCAGATAGAGTAAGATTGAATGACATTACTTCCGAATCTTGATTTGATTTTAAATGGTGAATTTATTGTTGAAGAATGATTGAATTTGATAACATTTAAATCAAACATAACAACTTCGGGATATGATTATTGAGCTTGATGAAGTCAGTTTTAATCCTTTTTTAAACGTATGTTAAAGGGTATATATATCATCTTATTATGTATCTTAGAACACACATTAAGAAAATCGTTTAAAAAATTGATTCAAATTTTTATTGTCGTTTATTTAATAAACGTGATAATACAAAATAAACATTGAGTTTTCTGCACTTTTTCTTAATTTTTATAATTACCTCAAGTCTTTTTATGCTTAAAGGGTTGATACCAGCCAATGCCTGACGCCCAAGTTCCTCGTCTCGTATGGCAAAATTACTTCCTGAAATTTCAACCAGCATTTAACTTATTAGAAGATTTTCTTCATGAGTCATGAACGAAAACTTCTTTCCCTTGATTTTTATTATGTTCCCATTCTCCTAGAGAGAATTAGGACTCGATCACAATGGAAACAGTGTCACATTTAGATATTTACAACTAAATTTCAAATTTTATTCCAATAAAATGTACTTAGAATAGAGAGAGTTATATTGATAGTTCTAGCTAGCTTACGTACCACCCATGATGTGTGGAATACTAAATTTGAAATATTCTTCCAATGCATTATGGATCTTGCTCACATCCATTGGTTGAGACGATTTTGTTGTGGTTGCATTTTCGGGTTTCATTTCATCAACGTGCTTTTTCTTGTAGATATTTTCAACATCCGAAAGCTGCTTAAAAGCTCCACACTTGGTAACACAAGTTCTTATGTAGGGAATCAAATTCCGAGTTACCCCTTTTAACCTTTCCACGTCGAAAGCTTCCTTTCTTGCACCTTCGAAGATTTCATCTCTTGGAACATAAGTTCCCATGAATGCATTCACAGGGGACTCATATTTCTTGTCTGTCATATTTTAAAGAATGTGAAAATGTTAATGATTAGACTTTAAAGAATGAGAAACTGTTCATGATTAAATAGAGGATATGTTATGAAATTAATAAATAGTTTTTTTTTTAAAATTTATGGTAAAAATACAGAAAAAACTAGATAGAAATACTTTTTAATAAAAAATTTATTTTGAATTTTTAACTAATATTCTTATGACACTTACTAATATTTTTTTCCTTAGATATATAGTTAAAACATAATAGGTTTTTCATATTGTATACCATTAAAAAGTAGGTATATTATTATCAATATATTTTTTTAAATATAAATTTTAAAATTTTAGTTCATTTGCCCAAGAAAAAATAGTTAGAAATTACATTTAGCTTATGACATATATAAAACATGTCAGGAAAAAGGTACAAATAATTAATGAAAAATAATATATGATTATGGTAACTTTTTCATCTTATTTTAATAATTTTTTTAATATAACTCGTTAAATTTATTTTCAGTTTATTTCAATAAATTTTATTATTAAATTTATGACATAATTTATTCTTTTAAAAAATAAAATTATTAAATATATGCTTAAATAATTAAGTAGTTATCCAAACAGACTATAACTATTTTTTTAATAATAAATGTTAGTAATAATTGTCAATATTCATGTGAAAAAGAAGTAAAATAGCTAATGAAAGAAAATAATTTAAAAGGATCTAAATGCTAGTTTGATTTGCTGTTATGTTGTTTATTTGACTAATGCTTAGTGAAATTAGTTTTTGGGAGAAGAATTTTAATATGATCTATATCATGGACTTATTGAGGTTAGTTAATGAAACTATATATTTTTAATAAATTAACTGTTAGCTAGTAGCACCAGCTTCTTGCATTATATGAAAGTCTATTATCATAAATGTTAATTACGTAGACAATTTTGCATACGGTTTGAAGTAATTATAATTGTGATCTGTAAATAAAATTTTAATTTATTATTGAAAAAGCAAGGATATTTTATTAAAATTAGCTAAATTTAAATATCATTTATGCAAACATTTTTTAATGCAGCAGAATAAATTTCATGTGATGAGAAAAGAAAGATTTTGTTTTTGTTTTTGTTTTGTATTGAAATGTCATTGTTGTTAATTAATGTGACAAAACATATGGACCAGTGGAGGAGAATCAGACAAGGGAGTCGAAATAATTCATCTGTGTGGGGGTAATGTTCTGTGGGAAAATAACATGTTCACGCGTACGTTTCTGGGGGATAGCTAAGTCAAGGGATTAGAGAAAAGAAGAAGAAATAAAAAAGTAAAAGATGTGACAAATCATATAAGCGAAAATAAAAATGAATTTAAGAAAAAAATGAACATGAAAAATATAAAAAGTGTACTACGTAGACCAAATTATTAGTAGAGCAAAACAACTAACCAGTTGATGCAGGAGCACGACCAGTTCGGCAACGTCTAGGACTTGGATACTGTTTGGTCCCTAATATAGGCCTCACGTGTTCCCTTCCTTTATCTGGATTTCCCAAATCATTGTACACATCATAATCATATATTCTATCACTTCCCCTTCTTACTCCTTTTCCATTACCTCTAAGCTCCATTAGTTCTTTTTTCCTTAGTTCTTTCAGACCCGCTGGTGTATGACAAGGTAAACATGCCTGCTAAATTGGATCATGAACAGTGTAAGATAACTCAGGTGGTAAATACCCAACATATATAGTGCCCTTCTTCTTTATATAGATATATGTGTACTATTATGACTTGGTAAATTTTTAGAGAGGTATTTATAAGAAAATGAAATAAAAATATACAGATAAATAAAATTCTTTTCAAGTTAAGATTAACTTATATTTAAAAAAAAATACAATAAACATAGCTAAAACATTAAATGTAAAAGTTGATTTTAATTTATAAAAGTTATTTTATTTATTTATTCTTTTATAAGTACTTTTACATAAATTCACCTAACTAATTATTGGACCTATATTATTACCTCGTTGCTGAAGAAAATTCTCTTCTCTGGATGAACCTTCTCAGGTTGAACCCAAGAATTGCATGAAATTTCCACAACACCTTCAATGGAAAAGCCTTCCAAAAATATCTCTTTGTCGTGTTTGTTTATCACGGTAACAGCTCCTGGGAACCCAAAACTTGAATCTATCTCAAATTCTACTTTGTATGTCGACCTCTCAGCCCCAATCCTGAGGTCTTTCAACCAGTCCAACGCAACTGGATGGCTTAGCTTAGGCTCCATCGTTCCTTCAATTTTATAAGACACTCAAAGAAGTCAATACTAATATATAATTCAAAACCTAACATAGACTAATGAAGTTAATATGCACAATACAACATTAATTGCATTGCGATTCCATCAGATAATAACAAGCATGGTTTTCAATTTGTGCTACGTACGACTATAATAATTTGTTACCTTGTTCATTATATAAAATATTAATATTAATATTCATGTGAAGAAGATTTATTAGTGCTTACTGGGGTCAATTTCAGTGCTAACTAGCTGCATGATCAACCCTCTTTCACGAAGGGCATTGTTGAAAGTATCAAACTGTTGAAACATAACGGCTATCATTTCCTCGTTACTCTTACTATACTTGATAGTTACAGTTCCCGTTATGGTCAAACTCATCGGACTCAGAGTAAAGTCTTTCTTCGACGACTCGTCGTTTATAAAGGGTGATAGTGGGCTAGATTGTTGCAGTATTACCATCTTCAGCTCAGAAAAATTGGGGAGCAAAGAAACTGTCTTGTGCCTCTGAATGCCACAACGTTTAGATTGTGAAGAAAATCGTGAAGCGTCAAAATAAAATGCGTCCACCAAACGTTGTCCCATGATTTCTTTTACCATGGCCATTCTGAGATAAGTGTTTTCCTGTGTAGTCCTTTACGATTGCACTCTACACAAACAGTAATTAAGGATATATAGCAGAAATATGTGTATGTGTGAGTGACTTTACATGTGGTAATATTAAGAACCATATTTATAGCAAGAGAAATATATAAACTGCCAAATTATCAATCCCATGAGGCTATATGTGATTCATATTCAAAATTGTCCTATTATGGAACCATTTGAACATTGTGAATCACATGAAGGGCAATTGCAAGTTCCACCTCAATACATGTCAGCTATATATTTCTCTGATTCCTACCTAATCCTTTTTTGGTTTTTTAGGTGACCTTCTATATAATAAGAAAAATGTTTTTTGGTCTGTGGCTTTAAGGTTATATATAGTACATGAATTAAGAAAAATAATTAATTTACTATTTGTATTCAAATTATTTAGATTTTTTTAATATGCCCTTAACTATCTCACCCAGTTATTGAGATATTTTTTCTCTTTATTTTTGTATGTGTATAGTTGAAGAAATAATAACATTTTAAAAGAATTAATAATATAAAAATAAACAAAAACTCTTCAAAAGTAACAAATTAAAGAAAAACACGGGAAAAAACAAAGCAAATAAGCTCTTGGTGAAAGTTTGGAATGTTGGAATTATGCTAGTATTCTATAGTTATCAAGATAAAGGCAAGTTTAGAATTAAATTACTATATCCATTCATTTTTTACTGTTCATTTAATAACATAAAATTATTTTAATTTATCTATATATTTTATTTTTGTTATAGGCTTATGCTACCTATTAACTCAAATAATAATGAATAATTACTAGCTTAAGAGGGAAAAAAAAAAAGTATCACGACACAAAGATAGAAATACAAGGCTCAAAATTATTTCTTTTATTTTTTTTTTTCCAAATAATTTTCTTTAACGTAGCTCCTTGCATTTCCCCACGGCTGTGTGCCCATGCAATGCATGACACATCAGAACACTTAGCGCATATGAATGTCATAATTACTATAATCAATTTTTTTTTAATTATTGGTTAAATTATATGTAGGTTCCTTTAAATAGAATATACCTCTCAAATATCTGGGGCCATCTATCCTAACAAGATATAACAACCGACAGCAACTTGTTACTGATTAATTAGTAACTATGATTGTGATTGATAACTTTTTTTTTTCACTAAAACTATGTTAGGTCATTTAGGAATAGACCTTGCAATCAAACAAGCACTCTTGAGAAAACATGACTTAAAAAAAAAAAACACAAATATTTTTCATTAGAGATATTTTTATTTGACTCGAATACAACTATTATAATTAACAAAGTTTTTCCATTCGTTTAGATTCAAACATCACCTTATATTTAAAAGCCAAAGCTGCATACGTTAGAAGTGGAGATAACATAAAATAACTCCATTCATTACTGAATAATAATTTTAACAAAAGATTACCTAAGTTAGTCTAGGGAAAGTTATAATAAAAAAAAAGAAAAAAGAGAGAACAAATACATTAGAATAAGAGATGATATAAAATAACTCAACTTATTACCTATCTTAGTTTAGGAAAGGGATAAAATTTAAAAATAAAAAATAAAAACTATAGAAGAAATAAACAAAATTATATACAAGACCTTACTAAGATTTGAAATTGAGATAATTATATTAAACATTAAATTTGTCAAAACTAAATATTTAATTTAAAAAATATATTTTTTATTTGGATATAGTTATTTCATAAATCTCATATGTAAGTGTTGAAAAAAACAAATTTGTTCTTGAGTGAGATAGGCTTATAAGTTGGTTAAAGGAGATAGAAGTTTTATAATCGTCATTATTCTTCTGTAGTTAGAATGCTTAGGCTTAGAGTAACAAAGAACAATGAGTTTATTAAGGGGTTAGTGAATCCATTCAATTTATACCTAGTCAAGATATGTAAAATTTATATGTCACCTCCTTTTAGTTGCAAAATTTAACGATAAATCTTCTATTTAACAACCAGTTTTTTTTTCTATTGTTATTTAATTTGTTTTATTCTAACCCATTTAATTATGGACAACGAAAACTAAAGGCTGATAAACTAACGTACTTCTGCGTGTGTCCTAATTTGTGGTTCGTAGATTACGATGATTTATCAGATTTCGACATTTCGTTTGTTTTCCTTTTTAAAAATAGCTTTTTGTTTTTAAAATATAATATAATATAAATTATATTATATTTTATTTTTATAAATATAAAATTGATTTAAAAAATAAAAGATCTTTTTCATAATTTTGATTTAGTATTTTTATGATATTTTTAAATTTAAAAAATATTAAATACTCTTTCTACATTATACTAAAATATTAAAAAATATTTATATTTTTTAAATATATAAAAAAATAATAATTACAATTATTTCATATATATAAAAACATAAAATACTCCCTATTATCCTCATTAGGTCAAGTAGGGTAGACGCGGTTTGGGCGTACGAACTTCTTGTGGTTGTTATAAGCTTTTCCACTTGCGTCGTAGTGTCGTACTCGCTAGGGGTTCGCCTTAATTTGACACGTTTAAAGTTATTCTAAGTTTAATATTTTTTATAAATATTAAATTATGTTATTCTAACTGCTAAATTAAAGTTTTTCTTAAATATATTAAGTCTATAAAAGTTTAGGTAAATAAAAAACTAAGTAGTAATTATTGAACAATATGATTTTAATGTTTAATACATATTTTTAAAATTACGCATGTTTGATTTATTAAAAATTTAATATGCTTATCAACACCAACATGTAATCTTGTTTAACGGTTTAACGTTTATAAAGTGTTATTCGTCAATATTACAATTTTTAAGTTAAAAATAGTGTTATTATTAAATCAATGTATATTGTATTTTTAATATAAATTAAAACGATGCAATATTGTTATAGAGAAAGTATAATTTAAACATGTAATGTATGAGGGCATGGTGATGGATGTGTGAATGACATTTACGTATATACAATTTTGTTAAAAATGAAAGTGTAATGGGTGATGAACAACGCCAAAGTAATTTAATGTATTTATCTCGTGATACACAAGATGAATAGATGATTCCATTCTATTTGTTTTTTCTTGCCACCTAAGCTGTTAGTGATAACTCCGTTTCCTTTTGGGTGATCAAAGTAGAATTGAAGAAACAATAATAATTTAACTATTTATCAATATAGATCGTTTTAAACACATTAATAATTTATTTTATATATATATATATATACTTTTATTGGTTATGATAATTTAGATATTTATTTTTATATAAAAAGGATAACATGGAATAATTAGTAAGCTTCATGTTTATTTCACGCGTATTATGAATTTTTTAAATATATTTAATATTATTAATAATAAGAGTTTTATTAAATAAAATAACATTCAATAATTTTTTAAATGAATAAAAAATTAAATTAAATAGTCAATATAAGAAAAATTATGTGACATAATAAATAAGAGAATAGGGCATAAAAGCTATTGTTTAAAATAACTTATAAAAACACTTTCATTTAATAATGAAAACTTACATTTAATATATAAATAGAAGTTGATCTCAATGATTAAATGAAAAAATAGAAGTTGGAAAAATTAGGTAAGCATATCAAATTCTTTGGGAGTCCATAAAAGTGTGTAGACTCATGACTTGCTAATTGGAGCCTTAAGAACAGCTATGGGCTTCGAGAGAACATATTCCCCCAGCTTCCCCTGATTATAGATTTATTGTTAACTATTGATGTGTCTTGGGTGCCAAAAAGGGAACGAAAAAAGTTCACCTCCATCTCCATGCCCCCTCCTGTTTTTGGACCCAACATCGCCTATGCATAAGGCTCCCACCTACACCCATTACTTTCCATGGTATTAATTTATGTCGGCAATGTTGATTTCTAGTCAACGTTTTGTTAAAAGTGTACGAATTAACCATTTCTATATATAAAATTTTTTAGGGCATCACGATTAGACCTCAACTTTGATTAGAGATAAAAATAAATCAGGTTAAGTCTTACTTTATTGACCTATATTATAATTATTAAGTCTGAATTTAATTTATTATTTATTAAAAAATTTATTTTTAATTTGACTTGACTTATTTAAATGGTTTAACTTAACTTAAAATCAAGTTTACTATAAAAAAATATCTTAATATTAATAAAAATATAATTATTTTATTATCAAATTAGTTTACATATTTTTAAATTTTTATCTGTATTGTTAATAATTATTAAATAATAATTTTATATAATTTTATAAATTTTTAAAATATTATTTAAGTATTAACTATAAATATCTTTATATTATAAAATTTTTATATTTTTTTTCTTCATTTAATTTTATAAAATTATTAAAATCTTAAAAATTTTAATTATTTTTTATGATAATTATATTTTTTTAAAAAGATCTTATATTTAATAAATAAAATTACATTAAACACATAAAATTGATAACAAAATATAACACTCACAAAATTTGTTGAATCAACTAAAAGAAAATTATTCTATTTAAAAAAAATATCATCATTATAAAAATTATAGATAAAAAAATTATTTATATTATAAAATTTATGGATGCAAAAAAATAACATATAAACATAGTAAAAATTAATAAAATTTATATTTAAATTAAAATAACTTATACTTCTAAACTTTTATCTTAATAAAAAAATATGTGATAAAACATAATATAAAAATTTAAACTCAATACACTATATATATATAATATGACAATAATAATAAATATTAAATTAAAAAATATTTAATTTTATTAATTTTTTTATTTTAAATTAATAAATATATATAAAATTAACTTACACTATAACATTAATATAATATAAAAAATATTACTCATAGAATACATTAAAATATATATTTATATATTATATAAATTGATAAATTAATTAATAATATAAATTTTTATTTACAATTTTTTTGTTTATGTAAATATTTATTAATTATTAAATTTCAAATATATGTTAACTATATTTTTTTAAAAAAAAATT